AGGCTGCATCAACAGAGGGAGAGAATCAAGATCACCTGAAGGGTTGATGCCACTTTATAATGCCCTGGTAAGGCCACACTTGGAATATCTGCATCCAGTTTTGGTTGCCTTGATGTAGAAAAGATGCGGAGACTCTAGAAAGAGTGCAGAGAAGAGCAACAAAGAGGATTAGGGGACTGGAGGCTAAAACATGAACGGTTACAGGAACTGGGCATGTTGAATGAAAAGAAGGACCAGGGGAGACAGGATAGCAGTCTTCCAATATCTCAGGGGTTGCCCCAAAGAAGAGGGAGTCAAGCTATTCTCCAAGGCACCTGAGAACAAGGAGCAATGGGTGGAAACTAATCAAGGAGAGAAGCAATTTAGGAGAAATTTCCTGACAGTGAGAAGAATTAAACAGTGGAACAGAAGTTGCCTCCAGGAGTTGTGAATGCCCCAACACTGGAAGTCTTTAAGAAGATGTTGGGTAGCCATTTGTCTGGAATGGTAGAGGGTTTCCTGCCTAAGCAGGGGGTTGGACTAGAAGACCTCCAAGGTCCCTTCCAACTTTGCTATTGTATTATTGTATATATTCTGGGATCAGGATCATTTTCGTTCATTTCATCTGTTGTCATTCAGAGGGGCACGGAGTTTGTAGCTTCCTCGGGAGAAAAAACATAACCCAGGAGTTGGCAATTAGTGTAAAATGGAGAAGGACACTGGGGCCCCTGAAGTATGTAAGCCGATTCAGTCACAGCAAGCTGTACGCTGATTTTTCTCATGGATTTTGCTGATCATTGTACTGGTTTCCATGTTCTGTGCAGGATTCTGGCTTTGGAATATTATATATTATAATTATATTTGACCTATATAGGATAAGGGCTCAGGATACCCAACCCCTTAAGGTGAGCAATGCCCAGCCCTTTCTGACATACGACCCCACCTCCAATAATACCACCCTCTCCCCCCCCCACCACCACCACTTTAATCCCATTTGGGAAAGTGGTTAAAACATGCCTTTTTTTTTGGCAGATCTCTGTAGGGCCCCTGTCTTCTTCCCTTCCCATCTAATCAGCAAAGGGCCACTTGAAATCTACTGGTGTTTTATGAGAAGTCCTGGGATCGTTGATAGTTTTATTAGTTTTTCTGATTCCATCGTGAACCACCTAGAAATATGTATAATTGTGGCGGCACAGAAAATACCGGCCTTAAACGAGGACCACGATTGGCTGAGGCAACTTTCTTTTAAGTGGCTGGTGGAAATACATAACCGATTGAAAATGGAGCTTGTTTTAAGTCAGGTGTGGTTCAAAATACCCACCAGCTCTGGCCTGCCTGGCTTCAAAACCGCTCGACCAACCTGGTCCTACTGAAATCAACCCACATTCATCTCCGTAGCAGGCCCGGCAAATTGGTCCCTTTCCATTTGGCACCATGTTCCTGGCGATTTGAAAGAAAAGAGAAATCTTAAGTGCCAAAGGGAAAACCCTTGGATTTGGGCGTTATCGCTTTGATTTTGCAAACCTGCAAAATTATGCCGACGAAACGGCTCTCCTGGAGGAGCTGAGCGGTTGGAGGTTCCCGAAACACTTTTCAACGCTTTCCGTCTTCCCAGGTGTTCCTAAATTGACAGGAATGGAGATTACCCAGGTTTAATCACAGGCACGCCCGTCTGTTGCGAAGTTGAGAGCCAGATAACAGGATGTACTACTACGGGGACCTCTCATCTTCCCAAAGCATCAAAGGCCCCCCCAGACTTTGAGAGGTGTGTAAGAGCAGCTAGTTACGCACCTCTTGAGCTCAGTAGTACGAGCGACACCTCCTGTTAGGCTCCCTTTGTTCACGTTGGAACACACACGCTGATTTGCACTGCGGGTAAAGCAGACTTTCTGCCATTTATTTATTTACACACACTGTAGGTAGATAGGTAGGTGGAGAGAGAGAGAGGGAGTTAGTTAGATAGCTATAAATAGATAGATACATAGATGATAGACATAGATAGATGCAGAGATAGATGGATAGAGATAGATTTAGATTTAGATTTTAGATTTTAATAGNGGCCATAGGTAAAGGTAAAGGTTCCACTTGCACATACAGTACACAATTCGTTCCCGAATCTAGGGGGGCGGTGCTCATCTCCGTTTCAAAGCCGAAGAGTCAGCGCTGTCCGAAGACGTGGTCATGTGGCTGCCATGACTCAACACCCAAAGGCGCATGGAACGCTGTTCCCACCAAAGGTGGTCCCTATTTTTCTACTTGCATTACGTGCTTTCTTACTGCTAGGTTGGCAGAAGATGGGACAAGTCATGGGAGCTCCCTCCGTTACGTGGCGCTAGGGATTCAAACTGCCAACCTTCCGGATCGACAAGCTCAGCGTTTTAGCCGCTGAGTCACTGTGTGACGCTTAGGGCCACCATAACTGGACTCTAAATGTCTGTGGAGATTCTCCGCCATCCAGGTCACGGTTGTCCCAAAGGTGGTTTTTTCAAGAGGGCAGCTGGACTTTCTGTTTTTTCTTTGAAGACATTTCATTTCTCACCCAAGAAGCTTCTTCAGTTCTGAACTGGATGGTGGGGGAGGTCAGAGCTGAAGAAGCTCCTTGGGTGGGAAGCGAAAAGGAAGTCCAGCTGCCTCTTGAAAAAAAGCTCTTTTGGGACAACTGACCCCCACCGTTTCTGTTTTTTTCCTAAGGAAGACAGTTGTTAAGTGAGTTTTTGCCCCATCTTACGACCTGTCTTGCCACCGTTGCTAAGTGAATCGCTGCGGTTGGTAAGCGAGAACGTGGTCGTTAAGTGAATCTGGCTTCCTCATTGAGCCTGCTTGTCGGAAGCTGATCTCATGACCCCGGAACATTGCGGCCGTCATAAATATGAATCGGTTGCCAAGCATCTGAATTTTGATCACGTGACCCAGGGGGGCCTGCTGCAGCGGTCACGAGTGTGAATCACGGCCGTAAATCACTTTGTCCTCCGCAATTGTTACTTCAGTCACTAAACGAGTCAGTTGTGGGCTATCTATGCACATTTAAAAAAAAAAAATCAAACCATCTAATCGGCTGCAAGCCGAATTAAAAAAAATAAGTGCTTACTCCTCCATCCGCCTGCAGATCAAAGCAAAATTAAGAGTAACGGAATCCTATTGTGCTCTTTATTGATTTTTCTCCTTCGTTTGATATTTCAATTCAGCTGCTGTTTTCAAAAAAGAAAGAAAAAAAGCAGGAAGCAGAAAAACATGACGTTTGTTGCAAAGGTTTTTTTTTTAAAAATTAATTTTGCCTCCCAAGTGAAAGCTGCTAAATTCAATCCACATCGTGGTGGGTTTTCAGTTGGATCCTTATCAGGATATATTACCAGCAACGGATCCGGGTTTTGAGTTCAATCAACTCAAAAAGTTTGAAGCTAAGCATTTTTTATTTTTAAATCCTGTCTTCCTCTCTACAAAACTCCCATTTCTGAGCTCTAGGCGTCTTCTCTCGCATGGCAGGAACGGGAGCAGTTGTGATGGGGTTAAGCCATATTGTGTTTACATTCCCTGCGCATTGTGTCTGCTACAAGGGATCTATCACTGTAACGGTGTATGACGGTTGGAATCTGATCTCTGATGGGGAACCTTGCGCGAAAGGCAGACCGACGAGGAAAAGTGTTTTGCACAATAGTAAAAAAATAATCTGGTTTCGCTTTGTGACCTGGCTGGTCCTAAACCAGAGCTGAGGAGGAATGGCGATTGTGCCTCTGTACTCATTCTGCAGGAAATCCTCGACTTTACGACCACAATTGAGTCCAAACGTTCTGTTGTTAAAGCGGGACGTTGAGTTTTGTCCCATTTTACGGCCTTCACTTGTTAAGCAACTCCCTGCAGCTGTTAAGCGAGTAACCTGGTGGTTAAGTGAATCTGGCTTCCCCATAGACTTTGCTTGTCGCAAGGTCGCAAATGGGGATCGTGTAACCCCAGGACGTTGCAACCGTCATAAATACAAGACAGTTGCCAAGCTAATTTCAATCACGTGACCAGGGAGATGTGGCAACCGTCATAAGTGTGAAAAACGGCCCTGCCACTTTTTTTTTTAGTGCCATTGTAACTTCGAATGGTCACGAAGCAAACTGTTGTAAGTTGAGGACTAGCTGTACTTGTACATACCCAAAGAGTTAGCAGTTTGGAGTTAGTACTTTGTGCAAAAAGACGAAAATCTTCTGCGTAGTGAAATTCTACGATCGGTAACTCAAATAAATGGGCATCCTTTTATTCCTAACAATTTTGTTGCAATTCAATTCTCTAAAAGGTGCTTTTGGGAATGAGGTTTTCCTGTCCTTTCCCATCAGTGGAAAGCTGTAAAGTTGGAAACTTCCGTCTTTTATTTTATTTATTTACATTTCTTGTGTCCATAAACCGAGGCTGCCCTTTGACTCCAAGGAATTGACATGGAGTGACGATGCCAGGAATTGCATTTTTAAGATGACAAATTGTAGAAGGCGTGTGCCTATGGATTTGACCTCTGCAGTCAGCGGGTGGGTGGGGACTATATATCAAAAGGGTTCTGATGCTTGTTTCTCAACACAAATGTATATTTTCCCCCTTTTTTCCAGATGATCATGGGAACAGCAACGGAAGTCATGTAAAAATCTTTTTACCGAAAAAGCTCCTTGAATGTCTGCCAAAATGTTCCAGTTTACCAAAAGAGAGACACCGTTGGAACACAAATGAGGTAGCTAAGACAAAACTTTTTTTTTTTTTTGTCATTTCACTGCCTGGTGTGTTGAAACCGTACACTTAACTGGAGTCAAAAATCACGGCCAGAAATGTTCAGTCGCCCTCCGTTTGCTGCTGATTTTGCCAATTTGGTTCCTTAGATAACAGGGAAACGATTTACTGTGAATTTTGAAAGAGGCAGAACGTAGCATCTCCCTTCCTTCCGTTGGTTGGTATAGCTCGCATGTTGATTCTTTTGCAGGTGCAGCTAAAATCTGTACGGTGGATGTTTGTACATGTCAGAAATGCATGAAAAATGTAGCTTTGGTGCAGCCTTACCTCTAGTGTCAATTTGAAAAGGACCCAAATGTGCCCAAACTTCCAAAAATCATGGTCATTCCTGTCCCTAATGCTCAATAATCTTTTATTCAGAAATGTTTTTTTAATAACATATCTCTAAGTATGAAGATGGCCTTACCAATATAGGTGTCTTTGGTCTAGACCAGCGGTCAGCAACTGGTGGTTTGTGGACCACTGGTGGTCCGGAGAAAATTTGGATGGTCTGCAGAAAAATTATTTGTACTTTTTATATTGCACTAAATCTCAGGGGTCCTTAAACTACGGCCCCTGGGATGGATACATGCAATGAATGCTTGTGTTGCTGCAGAGAGTCTCCCCCTTTGGGGTCTTTTTGNACTGTAGTTCCTAATTGTAGGGCTTAGTAATTGTTAGAATGGCCTAAGTGTAGTTGATGAATATTTCAAGGGCCGTTGGAAATGAAGTGGAAGACATTGGCTTAGCTGCATTTTAGGGGGAAACGTTTGATGATCTTGGTCCTTAAGTATCCCTATAGTAGGAGTGTACTTTTTTGGTTTTGTCTCATTCAAGATAATGGGACCAGATTGAGAACAGGTGTTTCCCAGTTTAAACAAAAGAAGTGGGACAGCTTCCCTCCAGATGTTGTGGATGCTCCCAACACTGGACGCTTTTAGGAACAGATTGGATAGCCCCTTGTCTGAAATGGTCTAGGCTCTCCTGCTTGAGTAGGGGGTTGGACTAGAAGACCTCCAAGGCCCCTCCCAGTTCTATTCTGATGGATTGATGGATTGAAATGGTCTAGGGTTTCCTGCTTCAGCAGGGGGTTGGACTAGAAGACCTCCAAGGTCCCTTTCAGCTCTATTCTGATTGATTTGATGGATTGAAATGGTCTACGGTCTCCTGCTTGAGCAGGGGGTTGGACTAGAAGACCTCCAAGGTCCCTTCCAGCTCTATTCTGATTGATTTGATTGATTGAAATGGTCTAGGATCTCCTGCTTGAGCAGAGGGTTAGACTAGAAGATCTCCAAGGTCCCTTCCAATTCTATTCTGATTGATTTGATTGATTGAAATGGTCTACGGTCTCCTGCTTGAGCAGAGGGTTGGACTAGAAGACCTCCAAGGTCCCTTCCAGCTCTATTCTGATGGATTGAAATGGTCTAGGGTCTCTTGATTGAGCGGGGGTTGGGGGTTGGACTAGAAGACCTCTGAGGTCCCCTCCCACACTATCCTGATTGATTGAAATGGTCTGGGGTCTCCTGCTCGTGCAGGGGTTTGGACTAGAAGACCTCCAAAGTCCCTTCCTATTCTGATTGATGTGGTCTTGGATCTCCTGCTTCAGCAGAGGTTTGGACTAGAAGACCTCCGAGGTCCCTTCCAGCTCTATTCTGATTGATTGATGGATTGNAGATAGATAGATAGATAGATGATAGATAGATAGATAGATAGATAGATAGATAGATAGATAGATAGATAGGTAGATAGATAGGTAGATACAGAGATAGATAGATACAGAGATAGATAGATACAGATAGATAGATAGATAGATAGATAGATAGATAGATAGATAGATAGATACAGATAGATGGAGGGAGGGAGGGAGAGAGAGAGAGAGAGACATATACATGTATTCTGTGTGTATATGTGTGTGTGTACAATGCATTCAGAAAGTATTCAGACCCCTTCACTATGGTCAATTTTGTTAGAGGGGTCTGAATACTGATGCCAATGTGATATTTCAGTTTTTTCTCTTTTTAATAAACTTCTGTTTTCACTTTGTCGTTACGGAGTAACTGTAGATTAATGAAGGGGAAAAAAAGGAAATTCAACAACTGTAGAATCAGGCTGCACCATAACAAAATTGACAAAAGTGATGGGGGGTCTGAATACTTTCTGAATGCACTCTGTGTGTATTCCTCGACATAGCCATTTGTTTAGTGACCGTTCAAAGTTACGACGAAACTGATTCACCTTAATAACTGCGGCGAGAGAGGTCGTAATATGGGGTGAAACTCACTTCACCACTGTCTCGCTTAGCGACATAAATTTTGGGCTCAATTGTCGTAAGTGGAGAGGCTACACGCCTCTCTTAAATATTCTAAATAATTCAGTTTTCCCTGCCTGCCTGCTTTGTCCCGCTTGATCCTGCATCCAAGCTGCCTGGAATCCTGGTTCCCTGGGCGAAGTTTGGATCTGTGGCAATCCACCCTGATCCCCACCGGGCCTTTCACGGGCCTGGCATGCCACGCCAGCTGGCATCTAAATGCCAGCTGACTCTCCAGTGACACCGTTCTGCCTTATAAGCAGCTGCATAACAGGCAGAGCTGCTGCGGTGCTGATGATGGAGAGGCCCAGAGCCCCAGAGGAACTCAGCAGAAAAATACTGTAGCAGCAGCAAGAATCTCAATTAAAAGCTAATATTTGCCCTTTCTGGTGCGGGCCAGCTCTCGTCAGCTGGCCTGCCAGCGTAATTTTATCTGTGGCAACCCCCTCAGTGGAAGGAAGGTGGGAAGCGGGTGACTTTGTCTAAATTAGCCTGGCCGTGTAATCATTGTCCTCATGTCCTCTTCGAGTCCCTCTGCTCCCTAATGAGCAAAAAAAAAAAAAAGAAGAATAAAGTAAAAAAAATAAAAACGAGCAGAGAAGCACCACATCATTCTTGTTCGATCAAATATAATAAGGCTATTTTACTGGAATCGCGAGGGGGGCGGGGGTGGGGGAAATGCCCTTGTTGTGTCCCGCTGGTTTTGTGGAATACAAATCCCAGGTGTGGCAGACTCACAGTAGTCCCGGTGGGTGAGTTTTTACGGCGGCAGATCTAAACCCGACACGTTGAAAGTTGAAATAATTTCTTCTTCGATCTAGTTGTTTGAAGTTTGTGCTTTAAAAAAATAAATCCCTGCGCTGACTTGTTTTTTTTTTAATAGTTCAAATTTTTTCAAAGCGCAGGATTGCATTCCAAGCATTTTTTTAAAAAAATTATTATACAGTAGTTCCCGGCTTTAGTGACCAAGTTAACCACAGAGGAGGAAAATTACAGATTAGGGCAAGAAGGAAATAAAACAAACGACATTAAAAATGGCAGCATAGAGGTTAGGGTTAGGGTTGACATAGGACAAAAAGCTGAAATCTAGGCGTCTTGTTTAGAAAGAGTGCAGAGAAGAGCAACAAAGAGGATTAGGGGATTGGAGGCTAAAACACGTGAAGAACAGTTGCCTAGTTTAATAAAAACGAGATCGGGGGGGGGGGACATGATAGCGGCCTTCCAATATTTAAGGGGTTGCCACAAAGGAGAGGGGAGAAGACTATTCTCCAAAGCACAAGGACAAGAAGCAACGGATGGAAACTAACCAAGGAGAGAAGCAACTTGGAATTTCTTAACAGTCTCCTGCTTGAGCAGGGGGCTGGACTAGAAGACCTCTGAGGTCCCTTCCCGCTCTATTCTGATTGATTGAAATGGTCTCCTGCTTGAATAGGGGGCGGGCTGGACTAGAAGGCCTCCAAGGTCCCTTCCGTGAGTCTGCTCTGTTGGCCTCGCCATCAGTTTGCTAATGGTAAGTAAAGGATAGGGAAGCCCACAAGAGAAAGCTGGTTAAAAGAGATAAGAACGGCAGTTGGTGACACAAACTTTGCACCGTTAAAAGCACAAAGTGAAGAGGTTGATGGGCGCAGGTTCAGGTCACAAACCCGAGACGGAAGGCGGCAGGCAGGCAGGCAGGATCTGAATTTTTGGGGAGGAATAAATGTGGCCGTCGTGCAGTGAATGCCATGCCTAGCGACCGGGGGGCAGGGGGGGGACAAGGACGTCCAAAACATCGGAAGAAGCTCCCTGTAATTCAAAGATAAAAAGAAAAGAGGCAAGGATAGAATTGGAAAGCAGCTGGATTAGAGAGGGGATTATCACCATGAATGTTAAAATCGCAGCAGGACAGTCGAGGCGGCGTCAAACATGTAGCCCAAAAACCTCTGATCTGAACGCTTAGCCGCCTTTGCTTGCTTCAAAAACGCTTTAAAAAATATATATTAAAAACTCCCGCAAATTTCCTTGAGGTGCTGGAAATTCTGCATTCCCCTTGCGAATGCTTACATGACCCCGGCTTAAAGCTTTTATGGATTTTTTTCTGACACAGCAGCCAGCTGGCTGTGTCCTTGTCATGACCACAGACACAGAAGTCTCTCGCTCTCTCTCTCCCCCCCCTCCCCTCGTTCTTAAATGCTGCTGAGTAATAGGGAGCTATTTTCACACCTTGCTGAATGAAATCCCCCTTCCTCAAATCCCACGCTCGGTCCTTCCGCTGACGCAGAATTGGCTGTCCTGTATTTCGGCCCAATTTTTATACCTTGGCTATAAAATTTAAGACGGTGCGGAAGGTGAAGTCACTGTCGCCCCCGTGCATAATCTGCTAAATTGCTAAATTTATTGGGAATTGCTGGCAGGTGGCAACTGGCAAGTCTTTAGAGAAACGGAGCAGAGCTGGGCGGACTGCAGGTAGTCCTCGACTTACAACCCCAACGGAGCCCAACATTTCTGTCGCTAAGGGAGGCGGTTGTTAAGTGAGTNCTAGTGGCAAAGAGCCGGAGGGCCTGGTTCCAGTGGGACGCCATCATGACCTGGAACTGGCTGACCATCTCAGCCCGCGGAGCCTCCAGGCGCTGGCACCTGACCTTCCACTCCCCCAGGTCTTCCCTCTACTTGAAAGGCCTATGCTCGTAGTCCTCAGTGAGGTGCTTCTGCTGAGCCTCCTTCTCGGCCAGATCCATTTAGAACGGAGCTGTTTTGCCAACTCTTCCTCCTGGGGGCTGCTTCGCTCCAGCAACTGCTTCCTCTTGGGGCCCTAAGGAGCCCGGGAGGGCAGGCGAGGAGCGGCTGGGAGAGGGGCGGGGCGAGGAGAGGCCAGCGAGATGCCCCTCAATGTGAGTGACATTGAGTTGTCCTTGCCCACCCAGTCACATGACCACCTAGCCACGCCCACCCATCTGGTCATTAGGCAGATCCTATTAGTGGTCCATGGGATTTAAAATTA